AATCAATAAAGTATGCATTAATAATAGTTTGTATAAACAATGAGTACTTGTAGAATGAAGATAAGAATTCCATAATCAATAGCATATTATCATAGTCTTCATTTCTCTAGTGTAATACATTTAAGGACTCCTCATATGTGATGATCAAACGCTTGAGGATTTACTTTCGTTTAGCAACAATTTATTGATCATACATGATTCTAACATGCCAAAAGAGTCAAGCAATGAAAAGTTTATATGAAACATAACAATTACCATGCTTTTGTAGTTGTTCCCAATTGTAGTGCTCCTTTGCTTTGAGAGTGAAGAATTTGGAACATTTCTTACATCACACGTAGAACAATCATTATCAAGAAGTCATTTCTCCTTGGATAATGAAGATTCATTCAAGCAACCCTACAAGATAAACTTAGGAAATCTACATTTGGTACCCAAATTTTCTTGGGTCCATGAGTGTTAGGCAATGGCACAATAGTTCCTTTTGGAATCCAAATCTTCTTGATCCTTTTCTTCTTTCTAAATGGACAATTGTAAATTTTGTGTCCTAACCTTTTACAATAATTGCATTTAGGATATTGAAAAGAACTTGCGTCAAATGAATCATTTAAGAGCTTGCTCTTTTTCAATAAGCATGAATCTTTATTGTAAGGATCATATCTTATCCCATTTTTGAAACAGACCTTTATTTGATTTCTAAGCATAGTATTCAAGTTCTCTTTCCCGTTAGTTAACTTTGCTAAGATGTCATTTTGATCATCAATGATTTCCTTTGAAGAATTATATTTGAAAGCACAATCAATTGATGGTGACTCTTTAGATAGTACATTATCATTTTCCTTTTTCAAAGACTCATTTTCAATTTGAATCTTTTTTAATTCTTGCTCAAGATAATGATTTTTCATTTTTAAAGAATCGTTTTCCATTTGAACTTTTCATGTCTTTGAGAGAGATCATGGTTTTCCTTTTTAAGAGAATCACATTTCATAAGCATTTTTTCTAGTACACCATGCAACTCTTTAAACGCATCATACAACTCATTATGCTTATCAACTAACTCATTATAGGAAGCATTTAAATCAAAAGAATCATGGCTGGAGTTTACCTCATCTTTGTCGGCCATGAGACAAAGAGCAATATCTTCATGATGATCAACCATATCTTTGATGTCATTTGCTTCTTTGCTAGAAGCTTGGAAAGTTTCACTCTTCCTTTGAATTATTTCTTTTTTCTTCACTATAAGAAGATGAGTAAGTTCTAACAAGATCATTCACATGATTAGCAATATTAGTAGAATTAAAATTCATCTCATTATTTGAACAATTATCATTCATGCTACAATATTCATTTTTATTGATAAGCATGCATAAATTTGATTCTTCAACATTACAAGTACTACCATGGAATATCTCAAGTGAGTCCCAAATTTTTTTTGCCGTTTTACAAATTGTAATTCTATTGAACTCATTTTTGTTCAATGCACAATAAAGATTATTTATGACTTTAGCATTGCATTGAATTAATCTATGGTCATTTTCATTCCATTCTTTCTCTTCTTTAGGACCCATTATCTTTTCTACTTCTTTCATGGGAATAAATGGTCCATTAACTATGATAAGCCAAATTCGATAGTTTATGGATTAGAGAAAGTCTATCATTATACTTTTCCAATAGTTATAGTTCGTTCCATAAAAAATTGGAGGTCTATCAATACATTGTCCTTCTAAGTGTGTGAATATGCCATTGTTGGCCATGATCGTACTCTAAGACGGTTAAGTCTTTTTAATTAGAATTAGGATCAAATACCAATTGTTGCCCAAGTAGAGACTCTAAAGGGAGGGTGAATAGAGTCTTTGGCAAACAATGGCCAATTTTTAGTTTTACAAATTCTACTAAACCCTTCTAACAATTATGCAATAATCAAGATATAAACATAAAAAATTAATAGAATAAATATAAAGGAGATAAGGGAAGAGAGATTGTAAACATTCACACGACAATTTTAGCGAGGTTTGGAAACTCCTACTCCTCGGCTTAAGACCCCTCTTGAGACTTCCAAATCCACTAGTGCACCTTCTTACGAGTGGAGAGCAAACATTTACATGAAGTAACACCTTGTTTCACCTTGCTAAGAGACAATCTCTCTTAGTCTTCCTTTGGGTCACACAAACCCTTACAAATTGAAGCTACATTGCTTCTTCTTCCTTGGGCCACATCAGCCCTTACAAATGTTTGAAGATTAAAATTTCAGTACATAATAATCTCTCACAGATTTAAAGTATAACTTTCAACTCACAACTAGAGTATATATGAATATATTGAAGCTCAATACTTTATGAATGATATGGGATGTATGAATACAAGAACAAAAACTCTTTGGATGCTATATGATGTTTTTCTATGGTAGCAACTCTTAATCCCGAAGTCCCCAACTCTATTTATAGAGATCTGATGTAGCTAATTCAAAAATATACTTGTTGTGCAAGGGTTTCAAGGAAAAATAACCGTTTGAATTAGATCTGAACTTACATCAGTCGACCGAACTGCACAAACCTTATTTCCATTGAAAACATTTAAGTAAATGTCTTTACAGTATTTATATGTCCATTTACTTTAAGTTTACAATATAAATAAGGAAGTACCCCCCATTTGGATTCAATAAAAAATATAAGAAAATTGAAATCCAACTAAATCAAAATGTAGAAATTCAGTTTTATTACATATTTGGATTTCTAACAGTTTTGGTAAAAATGAATCCGTATGTAGACTTGGTCAAAAATTCTGATAAAATCAGTTTAGGCTATTTGAAGTATAAAGAGTTATTACCGAGAAAAATTATTTTGAAATAATCATTATTTCAAAAATCCATTTTTCATACTTAGTCAAAAACACAGTTTTTCATGACGCGCATTCTGGGGTCCTAATGTCCGTTACCAACTCATGGTAATAAAGGTTTCTCATACCTTAATTGTTGACAAATATCAATTATATAATTGATGTGCATGGTCTTAGCATTTCTAACACAAGTGATGAGTTCTTTCAAAGTTTATGCAAACTTGAACTAACTCACTCTTTAGCAACGACTTCATGTGCAATTATATATGAATGAAGTACATAATCTATTGCTAATATATATATATAGGAACATATGAATGATGATATGATATACATAGTCCTATAAAGATGAGCTTCAAATGGATTCATAAATACTTTGACTTGCTTTCTTCCTTTCTTTGAGTTGTTTTCTTGCTTGTTGTAGTCCAAAATATCTTTCGATGGACTTTGCATTTGGTTCCTTATAACTTCATGTTCTTTTGTCTCCTTTGCTTTCCATAGATGTGATCTTGAGTAATGGAATACTTGGAATGATCTTTATAACTTCATTGAGGTCATTCTTTAAATGTGAATAATATATATAACACTCAATGTAAACATTAGTCTTTAAACACCATTAATGGTTTGTTATTATCAAAACCTCTAAATTGTCCTTCAATGGAGTCCTTAAAGTCAACAATTCAAAAATATATCTTTTATGAAATGATAGAAAATGACATAAAATGTACAACTGCTCACACTTTCCCTTTCAGTTTTCCTTTTCCTCCCCCGACCATGTGACAACGAAATACCCAAAAAAAAAAAAAAACCGTAACCAGTCAAATCATACAAATACACAACGCTACTAATCCAAGACCAGCCATTATCGCCGGAACAGTTTACACATCCATTAGTGCAGTAACTTTGTCTCAGATTCTCCATCCCATTCGGCATCAAAGCTTGCAAACTTTAAACATCCATGGCAGGGGGCATAAAAGGATTTAGCAGATAGCAGCATACACATAAGACAAGAACAAAACACCCCTTGATTGTAGGTTGTTCCTTGTACTCGGCTAGAGTAGCACAAGAGGCATGGAGAAAATAAAATTAGAGATTTAATTTGAATACAATTTCTTAACTGGTTTAACCTAGATATCTTTTCAAATCTTATATATATATATATATATATTCAATAATTAATTCTGAATATAAGAATCTAAGTCTTATATTTTTTAAGTATTTATTATATTAGAAGGATAAATGTCACCTCATGTAAGCAAATACCGTCCCATCTCAAGTCCAAATTCGAGCAGTCGCAAACTAATAGATTTTTAAAGAATTCTTATAATAGGCAAATCTAAAAGTTTCCCAAAGGTAATAAATTTCAGTCTCTCTAGTATTGATTCACAAGAACTAATAGGGATTAATTTTTTGCTTCCACTAAGTAGACCTATAGTCCAATCAAGACATCACTGGTAAAATTGTTAGTTCTAAGCCAAGTAGCAAGAGCGCGAAGGAAAAATCTTCTAGACCACAAACTTTTTTTTAAACTGATGTGGCTATATGGATTTGAAGTATAACAAGACACTTTATTATCTTTGAGGGTTAATGTCTCTATACTAACCCCGTATGAGTTCCCAGTTTAGAACTCCCACGGGTGTTCACAACAATAACATGGCCAAATACATTGCATGAAATTTCTCAACAATTGGACATTTGGAAAAAAGATAGGGTAGTGCCATGCACACCATACGTAGGGACGGATCTAAGAATTCATATGGGGGGAGGGGGTAAATTTTTATAGAGTGGTTTTTTAAAATTTTAGTGGGGGCAATTTTAAAATTTTATAAATGCAAATGCAAAAAAGCATAAATTTAGGAATATAAAATGTAATAATAAAAAATTTCATTAGGGGCAAATGCCCCCACTATGCCCTTCACAGATCCGTCCCTGACCATACGCCACGGAGAGATATTAGACCATGGATTAGGACCCAAACTGGGGCACCTATGGGCGACCAACTCAATTTGCGAGATTTCCACACTCAGTTTAATTCCTAAAGAAACATTTTATTACAAATCTAAACATTCCTACTAAATGAGAAGTGGTTTACGCCTTTTCAGCTATAGAAAAACATGTAGATTAACTGTTCCAGATTGAAACCACTGGATCTCATCCAATGAATACACTTGCGCAACAAGAAGCAACTTAACACTTTTCTATAAATAAATAGGACATATAGATGTTTGCTCCCTGTGGGAGGAACACTTACAAAATATAAACTCACTGGTCCACCACTTTTTAGTACTTCACATTCTGGATTCCCATTGATATGATTCAACACCCTTTACATTTTTCCTTAAGATCAATCATCGTCTCTCTATAGAAATGTACAGTTATGTTTTACAAATCGTACATACAGAAAAGCCCTTAGACCACACCAGACCGTTTTGGCCCTACAGATTGTCTATACTTTATATGGTTGAATATCACCCTTCTCTTCAATAAAAAGCAAAGGAATGCTAAACTTAACACTAAAATAACAGAAAATTCCCAGTAAGGCCATGGCGAAAACTCTACCAATTTGAACCTGCTCTTATGATCGCAGCTGCAGTCATAGCCACTTCGCAATATATTCCCTTTGGGAGTGATTTCTGGATCCAGAACAAAATCTACTGTCATGGCTTCTTCTCCCAACAAAATAGATGTTCTCTTTGATTTGTACCCAGGCATGGTCGCTATAACTACAAGTCAAAATTATTAAATTCAAATTAGAGTTTTACAAATAATCAGAAAGTCATCCCCAAAACTGAAGAGAACAAGCACACAATAATGTCGCTGAATGCAGGATGATATTTACATATATAGCCCACATGTGTAGTTATCAATACATAACCATATTTGTGTGCGCAGTACACTTTTTGTTTATGACAAATAGAAAAAGGGTGAAGTGCAGAAAACACCCCTATATTATCCTTACAGTGCATATCACACTCCTCACGTGCGGAAAACACCCCTAAAGTTTCAATTTTGCACATTATTAAATTCAGATTAGAGTTTTACAACAAACCAGAAAGTCATCCCCAAAACTGAAAAGAACAAGCACACAATCATGTCGCCAGGATGATATTTACATATATAGCCCACGTGTAGTTCCATATTTGTGCGCGCGCAATACACTGTGTTTTATGATAACAGAAAAAAGGATAAAGTACAAAAAATACCCTTATATTACCCTTACAGTGCATATCACACCCCTCACGTACGGAAAACACCCCTAAAGTTTCAATTTTGCAGATTATTAAATTCAGATTAGAGTTTTACAACTAACCAGAAAGTCATCCCCAAAACTGAAAAGAATAAGAACACAATAATGTCGCCAAATGCAGGATGATATTTACATATATAGCCCACATGTGTAGTTATCAATACATAATCATATTTGTGTGCGCAGACAGTTTGTATTCTATGATAAGAACAAGCACACAGTAATGTCACCTAATGCTGGATGATATTTACATATATAGCCCACATTTGTAGTTATCAATACATAATCATATTTGTGTGTGTAGTACAGTGTTTTATGATAAATAGAAAAAAAGGGTAAAGTGCAAAAAACACCCCTATATTATCCTTACCGTGCATATTACACCCCTCACGTGCAGAAAACACCCCTAAAGTTTCAATTTTATGCAAATAGGTCCTCCTGACACATTTAAGTTATAGTTTGTCCAAATTGCCCTTATTGAGACATTTTATAAATTATTCAAAAATATATCTTTTGTGAAATGAAAGAAAAGGACACAAAACCTACAAATGCTGACACTTTTCCTTCCAGTTTTCCTTTTCCTCCCCCGAGCATGTGACGAAGATATACCCGGAAAAAAAAAAAACCGTAAATAGTCAGATTATACAAATACACAACGCTACTGATCCAAGACTACACCAATTATCACCGGAACAGTTTCACAAATACAGGTACGCCATAGACCCCTTCTACCAGGAACAATTACGTCTGCGATTTGGACACGTTAAAGCAAAACGACGCTGGATTCCCAACTGCATTTCTTTTCTTTAATTTTAGGTTTTATGCTGCAAAATTGGTACTAGCATTGGAGTATTTGCACAGGTTAGGGATAGTTTATAGAGATTTGAAGCCAGAAAACGCAATGATTCAAGAAAGCGAACATCTAATGCTCGTCGATTTTGATCTCTCAACAAAACTCTCACCAAAAATCATTACATACGTGGTGAGTTCCGAGTCGAACTCTGTGCCTAAGTCTAACTCGTTCGTCGGGAAGGAGGAGTACATCGCACCTGAGATCATATTAGGGAACAGTCGCAATTCGCGATTTCGCAGTGGACTGGTGGGCTTAGCCGTCGCGTTGTATGGAATGATGCCATAGGTATTTGGGCTGAGAAGGAGGGTTTGCAAGCGGAGTTGACCGAGCAGAAGTGGTGTGCGAAAGGTGAGGTTGTTACACAAACATGTGTTGGGATGCTGAAACCTCACCGGAATAGTTTGATCTCTGAAACTTGTCGAAACTGCTCATCTCCAAAACTTGCCCGAACTGAACTTGATGAAGAGAGAAGAGTTGAACCCTTCAGTTGTATCTTCATGAAACAGAGATGAGTTCAATCATTTTAAGCTTTCACTCTATTTTCTATCTTCGTCTCTGAAGCTTGCTCTGTCTCTGTTCTTCCATGAACAACACTTGATTTTGGGTTTTTGCAGCTTTCACTGGAACTGAACTCAAGATCACCAAAAAAATTTCTGACATTTTTACTTGGAAAAAAAATGTCAGTTGATCACGGGGCAAGGGGGTGTTGCCTGCCTTGCCTATTGTTGAACAAATCATAGGGCCTAGTAGACTTACTGGTAAGCAATTATTACAATCCAAGAAATTGCTTCCAACAACAGAGTAACAGAGCAATCCCACCCAATATAGATATCACAATAATGTAACCAGAGTTCCATTCTGTGCAGGATGCAACATCTCTAGCCCTTTGAACACATTGAGGATGCCAAGTATTAGTATGGCGTATCGGATGCCATGGTGGTATATATTCCAGTAGAATCAGAGCTTGTGATCCTTTTTGGTCTCAGTAACAATGCAAAAATCTATATGACAACCACCACGGAGAAAGATCATCATAAGCAAAAATTCAAAAACCAGTGTGACATTAGGCAACACTACCTACAAATAGAATTTATAGAAAAAAATCTTCAAAATTAAAAAAATATAATTGATGTGCAACTAACACCCCTATACTACAATATTATTAGCATACACACCCCCTTGGACATTTTCGGAAGAGTGAAAGGGCAAAATGGGTATTACAACATTACTTTATGTCAGATTTCTGTTCAAGGGGTATTTCTGCACAATGTTAAAAGAATAAGAGTATTATTAGAACATTTTTCCAAATAGGGGGTGAAAGTGCTATGCAGAGTATACATTAGGGGTATTTTCTGCACTTGACCCTAGAAAAAAATGTCAAAAAGAAAATGAATGCTTTAATGTGGGACACAAAATAATGTAAATTTTCATTTCGATTAAACTGACTAATAAATTACACAGAACAACAAGATCATTACTGCAGGTCTTCTCTGATAGAACATTTAAAATTGATGCAGTTTGCACAGTTTAACTATGTACTTGAATTTTATTGCTATGATTATTTTATGGGATAACACATCACTAGGTTCTAAATTCCATTTAAATAATTCCAGGTTTTTATAGCTTTTCCTTCATTAAAATGATTTTTCTATGCCTTCAAATAAAGGAGAAAGAGGTCGAAACTTATGCTTTCTAGGAACTGCACATTGATGGTATGCTCTTTAATTCTAAAATATCTTTGAATAATAAGACTTCTAACAAAAAAAGAAGTCTAAAATTGATTTCACTTAAAGATATTGAAGAAAGCAATCATAAGTATGCATGTAGTTACATACATTATCCATGTGGCTGCGTTCATCTTTTGAAGTATACATCGTACAAGTGTCCTGTGCATTGTTTCTCATGTTGCATATGTACTGTAAGATACAACGATATTATGGATATCAAACAATCCAATAAAGCTTTTGTATAGTACATATTACATCATCATCTATGTATGCTTTTGATAAAGATTATGCATGTCATGACTCGAGTACGTGTGTTGGGTATGCATATGTGTTTGCACATCAGAGGCGTAAAATCTCCAAAGAGGACAAATGGACACTAATAAATATTAATATTACTTTCACTCATTTCAAAGCAATAATATAACAAAAAATGAACCATTGGATATGCTTTTTGGACCAGGATCCTCTCCAGCGGCATCTCTCTCCTGCTTTCTGTAAAACTAAATCAGACTCCTAATGTTAATCGAAGACCTTTTCTCTGCAAATTTCATAGAAAATTTCTCTCATTTTATGCTTCGATTATTTTTTCCCTGAAATTTTCCACTCTTTATTGTTCGATCTCTTCTCAATCTTTCCCTTTCGTTCACTGAAAGAACCCTAGATTTTGGTTGATTTGGTACTTGAGATAAGATTACAGATTTGGGTGTTTACCAAATTTATATTACTTATTTCCCCCAAATCAAATTTAATCCGAACTAGGATCCTCAATCCATGGTACACCAAGTGAAAAGAACCACCACTGTTAGACACATAAGACCAGAGCATCTACAAACCCTAAAGAGAGAACGTCATTTAATCTCACAGTGGAGTAGTCCTTTCGGATCACGAACACCTGCACCTTTTCCTCTCTTGTTAAAATGAAAGTTGTACAGAAAACGTTAACGTTAGAGATCCGTTTGGTGTCAAATACGATAGAGAGATCTCGCAGAAGAGGATCCAAATCCATGTTTTTTAGGTGCATGTCCAACCAAAAGTGTCGGTTGCATATTCCATACCCATATCTACGTATTGAGCATCCAACCCTACAATGTTAGAAAAGAAAATAAAGAAAGAAAACTGAATGAAACAAATTGGCTATATAGAACTACGTTGATCACAATAGAATTGTCAATTTCTGTAGATCCCTGTAATTGTCAGCTGGTAGCAGGGAAAAAAAAAAAAAAAATCAACTTTCATCACAGAAGGCACAAATGAGAGAAAACAGTACTTTGAAAGGAAAATGTCAGGACTCAGTCAAATCAATTAATTACCTTCATATCTCTCGCCTGGCGCAAGCAAACGATGGTAATCAGCGAATGCTTGACTAGCTTTAATCTGTAAATAAAAAATTTAGGATATTTCAATTAAATGTTATAGAAACTAGTAATTGTTGAGAGAGAGAGAGAATATATGAAAACGCATATCTTATAGAGCGAATACAACAATACAATGGCGTTTATATATGAGAAGCTACGGGAGTAAATGAGTGGAAAACAAGTAAACCCTATACATGGTAATGCTATTTATGGGAATGAGGGGTAGGTGAAGGCGGTTACAGAATATAAAAAATACTAGTAAACCCTAGTATACAATGTAATTTAACAGTACACGTGGGACAACTCATACAATATTGTACAACACTCCCCCTCAAGCTGGAGAGTAAATGTCAATAACTCCCAGCTTGCTACATATGGAATCAATAGAGTTCTTGGGAAGCGCCTTAGTGAAGATGTTTGCCAGCTGTATGCCGGTAGGAACAAAAGGTGTAACAGTATCATTCGAGTCAACTTTAGAACGAATGAAATGACAATCTACTTCAATGTTTTTAGTCCTCTCATGGTAGACTGGATTGCTAGCAATATGAATAGTTGCCTTATTATCACAATCTATGTTAGCCAGACTCGGTTACGGGTGTCGAACACGGGTACGTATCTAGAGGTCGGATCCATCTATCTATCAACTTATCGGACACGGGGACACAGATTTAAATTGTCCAAAAATCAGACACGGACACTTGGACACCGCATGCAAAGTATTCTCAAAATGCTAAAATGCATATTATACTTTGTTCTTGTTCCATAGTTTGAAAAGAAACTGAATTTGTAAGTTAACTCTGCAAGTAACTAGGTTAAAAAAATTTGAAATCCTTTACAAAGTAATAGTAGTAGTATATATACTGTAATATATATAGATAATGGGTTACAACTATAACCAACATATTATAAGTTTATATAATATTATATTATTTGTAATAAACAGTTTAAAGCAGTGGGCCACATGAGTTACAACATATACGAGTAATAAACAATGGTAATAACTATTTTTAGTGGGTTATAGCTGTAAGGCTGTAACCCATTATTTATTACAAACTTATGTGAGTTGCAGCCCACCCACGTGTACCATGTCAGACAAAAAGAACAGAAAAACAAAGAAAGGTACAAGCGGTGAAGATTCAATGCAGAAAGATGGGGGCGCTGATACCAAGTCATCTTCAACCTTTCCTTTCTAAACCCTATTTCGACCTAGTCATAACTAGACCACCATAACCATACCTTGAGGTGCTTAAACAGATGAAGACTAAGCAGCCGTGTCCGACAGAGAAGATGGAGAGTCCAACACATATCCCGTGTCCGTGTTATGTTGTGTCGACACGGACACTCTCGCCTGAACAGACAAGTCAAGGTAACATATGTCACAATGGAGAGGAATTAGGTATTGGACTGAAATCCCAAGTTCATGGAAAAAGAGTCTTCAACCAAGTAAGTTCATAGGCAATGTGCACCATGGCACAACACTCCGCTTCAGCGTTGGAATGAGCCACAACTGGCTATTTCTTACTCCTCCAAGTTATTAGATTTTCTCCTATGAAGTGCAGTATCTTGTGGTGGACTGTCAATTAGAAGGAGAACCGGCCCAATATGCGTCTGTGTGTGCCTCAATCCAAATATGTCCAGAAGATCGATAAAGCAAACCACATACCGGAGCACCCTTGAGATACTTCCAAATGCATACAACTGCCTCCCTATTGGGTACCTGAGGATTAGTCATGAAATGGCTCACAACACTGACTACAAAAGAGATGCCTAAATAAGTGATTGTGAGGTATATTAGTTAACTTACAAGTCTCTGATACATCTCTGGATCATCGAGTGGGTCACTATCATGCACCTTAAGTTTTACATTAGTCTCCATAGGTGTAACTACATGTTTCTAACCAAGATATCCAGTTTCCCGTAAGAGATCAAGAGCATACTTCCGCTGAGAGAAACTAATGCCTTACTTCGACCGAGCCACCTCAATTCATAGAAAATACCGAAGTTTGCCCAAATCCTTAGTAAGGAAGCTAGAACTCAAGTGATGGAGGAAAACTTGTATTCCATCTTTGTCATTACCGGTGATAACGATATCATCTACATACATCACAAGAATCACAATACCACGTTTTGTTTTCTTAGAAAAGAGAGAGTGATCAGCCTGGCTACTGCTTTACTAAACTTATCAAACCATGCACGAGAGGACTGTTTCAGGCCATAGACTTGAGATGACAAACAATCCCCCCCCCCCCCCCCGCGCGAGCGGTGCGGCGGACTCAAACCCAGAGCCAAATAGACCTTGTTCCCAACCTAGGGAACAAGGTTTCAAGTATGATTCAATTTTAAAGCGTTTATTTTATCTTCTATAGCTTTTCTCCACCCTGGATGAGAAAGTGCCTCCCTATAAGACTTAAGAAGAGCAATAGAGGATAAAGACAAAGAAAAAAACTTAGAAGGAGGAGGACAATTTATTATATGATACAAAACTAGAGATAGGGTGATTGGTACAAGACCTTTTACCTTTCCGAACAACAATAGGTAGATCAAGATCAGAGTCCTGAGAGATAGAAGAGTCTCCAGGCTTTGAAGCGACTCATGAAAGTGGCAAGGCTGGGTTTACTACTTCAATCGTTGGAACATGATTAACTACTCTTTTCCAGAGGCGAGCATAGACGCAAAAAGCTGGTGGGATGTCAGAATAAAAAACTGGAGTTGGAAGAACATACTCATAAAGAACAAAGTCTCCAAACAACTGCCTTCCTGGGAATAATAAGGAAAATCCTCAAAGAAAGTTATATTTGCACACACAAATTGTTTATGAAGAGTTGAACTCTAACATTCATATCCCTTTTGAGTGCGAGAATAACCTAAGAAAATACATTTGTGGGCAGAAGGATCACGTTTGTCTTATCCTAAGCTTAGATTATGAACAAAGTCGACACACCCAACACCTTTGGAGGAATGGAAAAAGGGACTTCATTAGAAAACATCATTTGGAAGGCTGATTTTCCTCGGAGGACCCTAGAAGGCATGCAGTTTAAAAGATAAGCAACAACCAAAACTGTATCTGCCCAAAAATGTTTTGGAACATATATTTGAATTATTAAGGCATGAGCCTTCTAGGAGTATCAAAACAAGATGTTAGATGGATAATGCCTCTCAACTCAAGAAACTTTTGAAAAATATTAACTTTATATTCAAGGGCATTGTGAGTTCTAAGAACAAGTAATTTTGCATCAAACTAATTTTGAATTTAGACATAAAAGGATTAAAAAATAGAGAACACTTGACATCTATCTTAAAGAATATAAACCCAAGTTAATAAATAAATGACACAAAATAATGAGCACCAAATAAACAAGTGGTACGAGTTGGCCTCCAAACATTCGAATGTACTAACTCAAAAAGTTTCATACTCATATTATCAAAACGAGACTTAAATGTAGCTCGATGTTTACCGAGTTCGCAAGTAGTACAATTAAACTTAGAAAAATCAAATAAAGAAGGGACCAAGACTCGAAGAATTTTTGAAGAGGGAAGTCCAAAGCGGCAATGCCACTGATGAGTTGAGGAGGTGGAATGTAGAGCTTTCGGAGTAGGAGTCGGCTGGAAGTAATAAAGACCATCCTTGTTAAACCCCCCCACAAATCGTCTGCTTCGACTTAGATCCTGAAAGCACAACGAGAAGGGAAAAAAATAACTAAGCAATTTAAATCTAATATGATTTTGCGAACTGACAATAAATTGAATGAAAATTAAGGAATATATAAAACTGATGAAAAAGTAAGACCCGAAGTGCGGAAGGTATCAATTCCATGAACATGTGATTTGGCACCATTCGCTATGGTAACAACCGATGGTGAGAAAACATGAGAAATATTAGAAAGAGGAGATGGGTTACTTGTCATGTGATCAGATGCCCCTAAATCGATGACCCAAGGTGCAGAAGATGAAGAATGGAGATAGGTATTACCTGAAGTAACAATAGTAGCAATGGAGGAGGGTTGATTTACATGCTCACGCTTTACCAGAGAATCATACTCGGCTTTGGAGAAAACTACTTGTTCATTCGTAGGAGTGGGAGTAGTCTCCTCTTGAACCGAAGCCTAATTAGCCCAAATTGGCTTGCCATGAAGGGCAGCAAAAGTCAAAATAATGACTGTTTCAGCCACAATGAATACACTTCTTGCTGCCGCGACCCCCTCAACCGCCACGAGTACCATGGCCTGGGTTGGAAGGACCTTTGCCCCCTCGTCCTCCATGAAAAGTATTATGTCGCCCAATAGGAACAACAAGAACAGAGTGGCTTTCCTTCTCAATCACAAGGGCATAAATAGATGCTCTTCAAACTCGAGCAAAAGTCTCACTAGTTATGGGTATCTCCCTGCCAGACAAAATCTGAGAAAAGATCGGAGCAAGTTCGAGTTTAAGTCCAGATTAAAATTTGCCACTTGAAACACCTCCTTGTGTGGTTTCTGTTGTTCTACGTCTACAGTCAATGGTTGGTAGACATTCAATTCTTCCCACATAACCTTTAGTTATGAGTAATAATCTTCAACAGAACAATCTTCGTGCTGGAAATTAAAAATGTCCTAATATAATTAATAAATACAAGAAATATTATTTTCTGAAGAATACATGTCCTTGATATTTTCTGAGATGTCTTTGGCAGATTCTAGGAATGACACGTTGTTGAAGATCTCAGGCTCCAAGATATTCCATAACCAAGTCTGAGCATCTTTTTTCCCCCAAGCCTCAATAATCTTTTCATCAGTTGTGGGTTTGGTTGATTGAAGATAGGACAGTTTTCCTCGAGCCAGTAAAAACAGCTCTATGGCTCGAAACCATTGAAGGTAGTTCGAGCCTTTCAGTTTGGTGTTGGTGCTTGACCTAAGAAGATGAGAGTCCTTTTTATCCACAATGAGGGTTGCCGAACAAATGAGATATAGTAGCAAGAGGGAGCCGAGATGAGAGAACCAAGATCAAGCCGAGATGAACATGAGAGAAATTGCCGAGGAGAGAGCTGAGGAGGGATCCGAGAGTGATTGCCAAGACAAGAACGGAGACCACCGAGGAGAGATTGTTGAGAAGAGATTGCCGAGAGAAAGCCAAGATGGAATCAAGATCGGAGTCTGAGATACCATGTTGAGAGAGAGAGAGAGAGAGAGAGAGAATATATGAAAAATGTATATCTTATTAAGTGAGTAATACAATAATACAATGGTGTTTATATAGGAGAAGCTATAGGAGTAGGTGAGTGGAGAACAAGCAAACCCTATATATGGTAATGCTATATATGGTAATTAGGGGTAGGTGAAGGCGGCTACAGAATACAAAAAATACTAGCAAACCCTAGTAGACAATGTAATCTAACTGTACACGTGTGACAGCTCATACAATACTATACAACAACAATTAATTGAAATGCCAGTGTCTTCATGCAATGTGGAAGAGTTTAGTAAAGCATTGATCTATCAATTTAACTACTTACATACAAAAATATATTGGGATATTCCATCTAGGTTCATACTATATCAGTATATATTGCTAAAACTAGGGTTATAAATATATATATGGATGTGAGAATTATATAAAAAGACAGGATAAGAATGCTTAAAACATAGAAGCCGGAAATGGATACGGAACACGGATATGACATAACAAGGGCATGATGACACAGAAAATCCTAAAAAATTAAGACAAGGACAAGGTGGGGACGCGACGAATAATATTTAAAAATATATATGATGTTGTACTTCAAAAAATTAAAAATATTTTTATTTTTTATCAACATAATAATGAAAAATATATATATATATATATATATATATATATATATATATATATATATATATTGTGCTTCACTGGGAGAAAGAAAGAATGATTGAAAGAGGGTTAAGAAAAAAAAAAAAAAAAATAGAGGATCAGGATTTTGTTAGAAAAAAGAATTAGGGCTTAGTTAAAATAAAGGTAAGAATCCAAAGAAGAGAAAAGGTTCATCGAAACAAGAGGAAAAAGGAAAAAGAGTCACAAAAAGAATTTGTTGTCAAAGGAAAAGAAAAATATTGAAAAATATTTTTGAAAAAATATTTAAAAATATTGAAAAATATTTTGACACAAGATAAAGTGTCAAAATTACTAACTGAAAATGTTAAGACCGTGTGATTGTATATGCATTTATCATTTAGCTTCTTTATTTTTATTTTTTAGTTGGTTAATCATGCATTGAGCTTGATTATTGAAGATCATGTTGATTATTAAATCAGATAAATCAAAATTGGAACACAATTTTAATATTTATTGTTAATGATCACAAGAATTCAAGTAGTTTGAAGTAAAAGTTCCTTTATTTATTTTTAATTTTTGATTTGACGTACTATTGAAATTATTAAAAATACACAAAAATATTTGTGAAATAATATCAAGAAATGAAAAGTACTGCAATTTTTCATGAAAATGACTATCTATTAAATTGGTTTGGTGCTACCAAGACAAAAATAGTCAATAGGAAAATCAATTAAAAGTCTTGGGAAATAGCCCTCACAAGAGAGTGAAAGCATTCATGAAAAGAAAGAAAAGATGAAACTTATTAGCAAATATGTTAAAAGCACGATGTTTAAATCTTTTTTGTTTTGAACTTCTTTATATTTATGTCAAGTTTATTTATTTTGTGCACATAGTTTTTACATTAATTTCTAACAAAGCATAAATGCACAATTATTGGTCATTAAGTAATGAGAATTTTTTTAGTTTGTTAAGTTTGATAAATTAAAAATTCATAAATATATGCATCCCTTTAGGAAAAATAAATAAATAATTTCTATATGTATAACTTAAAGTCCTCCCAGCCCGAACTCATCAATTGCATTTGCATCCTAGTAGTAGATTGTCTAATTTTTAGTATATTGTCTAATTTAGATTTAATCTAATGCTAATTTGCTTAAAATTTTAAAAGTAATTAAAGTTGGCTAGTTGAGCCTACAAGACCTATTCAACCCTCCTCTAGGTCTAGGTCTAGGTTGCGGACCATGCATCAACTCTCTAGTAGAGCCTAGGATTTTGGTCCTTGTACTATCATTTCTAGAAACTCTTTGATCAATAAAAATTGAAACGAATAAATGTTTCATAAAATTTTCCCGGACATCAAATCATTTTTCATTCATCCAACAAGGTGGCCTGTTGATAGTTAGCCCCCAGGGAGAAAAAAGGAACAAAGAATTAATAAAGAAAGATGTTTTCAAACTTGCAAACATCTAGTAGATCTATCATTGTATAAGATCCTTCAATACGTAAATGATCAATTAAATGCATCATATACTAATGAAACCACAATGTATAAAAAGCATGAAACAAAAATTTGGAAGATGAAAACTGTTAAATTTGGACGCGGAAATAAGAAATACAAATAGGAAAAGGGAAGACAGAAAGATGGAGAACACAGGCATATACATGTTTGGGCTGCTGGTGTGTTCGGTAGCATTGTGTTCGTCTTTCCCGTGTCTCCGACAGTTTTTATTGACTTGTTTGGGCTGCCGGTGTGTTCAGTAGCATTGTCCTCGTCTTTGCCGTGTCTCCGGCAAGTTTTTGTTGACTTGTTTGGGTTGCCGGTGTGTTTGGTAGCATTGTTCTTCGTGTAAGCGTGAATGATGAAGAAAGAAGACGAAGAACAATGCTACCGAACACACCGACAATCCAAACAAGTCAACAAAAGCTGCCAAATACCATGTTAAATTTGGATGCGAAAAATAAGAAATGCAAATGGGAAAAGGGAAGACAAAAAGATGAGAACATAGACATATACATAGTGCGACACTAAAGCCTACATACATGGACAAAGAGCCACTAAGGGCTGCATTTCTATTATTCAGATGTATTTTGCTTGAGTACAAAATGCCTATATATAGGCACGGTAAAAATAAGAAAATATGGAAGGTGCACAATAGTCAAAGGAGGCACCGTGGCTGGTGGAGGATTTTTCTCCACCATTATATAGAAATATTTATAGTTGGAAGAAAATTGACCGGATCACCATGATTGGTGGAGGATTTTGCTCCACAATTATATAGAAATATATATATATATTTCAGGCAAAAACCTCAACTGATGACCCCCTCAATAGCACCCAGATGATCATCATCATCATAGTCTTCCGAATATTAGAAAATATAAGAGTGATATTTTAAGTTCTTTAGTTAGATAATTTATCAGCAATAAATCAAGTAGGATTTTAGCATACAACATATTCACTTTTCCAACAAAACAGTGCCAAAATCCAACCCCATCAAACAAGAAAATATCACACCACTAAATTCTGCTTGTGAGCTACGAATCGACAACTTGAAACAGCCATGAACCTGCTACAAATTTTAAAAGGCTGTACTTTTTAACAAATTCATAGATGTCACCCTCATGGGACACAGTTGACTTACGGTAACACTGAAAGGAAGTCATGTACTATACGCATATACATACATATTAAAAAAATTCATTTTAAAGGAAAAGAAATCTAAGAAAAATAGATTCTAGAGGCAAACATACCGTGTAATTTATTCCCTTGACCGAAATAAAGGCAGGCAATGGCTTTCCACAATCTGATGAAAAGATCCTTCCATGTATTCCTGTCTATATAATTATAAAGTCATATTAATCAATGATTTCATACTCTGTAAAACCAAGCTCTACTGAAGCATTTGAGATGGCATAGTATAGAAATATTGGATTTCTATTCCCTGTTAAACTGCATCCAAATTTAAAATGCATGAAATATTTTATATTAAAAATAAACACAAAAAAAAAAAAGAAAAAAAAAAGGGGGGAGAATAGGTTATTTACAAGTTGCAAAAAGCGGGTGAAAAGGTTAACTAGAGACACGGATCAAATTAGATGTATTAAAGACAGAGACCAAAATATATAAGTTAAGGAATTTATATATTACGTAGATAAAAAATAAAAATAAAAAACTTCCAACTATGAAACAAGGAATATATTAGAGAAGAAATGGCAAGTAATGAACCTAATGTAAGAATAATAAGTAGAATCAATAAAGAAAAATAGACGATGAATTTAAAAAGATCAGTAATAACAAAACAGTAGGACTTGAAAACGTGTAATAGAGGCATGAAGAACCTTAGAAAAGATTGGAATAGAATGGCTAAGAAATTTATTCAATAAAATTTGAACGACATCGTCTTTGGAGGAGGGTTATTTCATGCCCTTTTGGGGGAGGAGAGACGTGGGTGGTCCTCTGGAATCAGAATTTATTCGGAAGGGATGGGATGAATTTTCTAAACACAATAGATTCAAAGCTCGGGATGGAAGAGGGGTTCGGTTCTGGGAGGATCTATGGTGTGGTGATTGCCCGTTGTCTTGTTCTTTTCCCAGACTATTCAAGATTGTTGTTGATAGACAAGCCCAAGTGGCCGACTATTACCAGCTTGATAGTGGTAGGCTCACGTGGGATGTGCGGTTTTGGCATTCTTTTTAGGATTGGGAGGTGGACGAGGTGTGTGGCCTATTGGATCTTCTGTATAGACAGGAAGTGGAAGGCAGAGGCAATGACGATTTACTTTGGATGCTTTCTTCTTAGGGAAGGTATGAGGTCCGTCAATAAGGCTCTTCTTAGCAAGTGGCTATGGAGATTTGGAGTTGCGCGTCACAGACTATGGAGGAGAGTTATCTTATGCCGCTTTGGTGAGGAGAGAGGCGGTTGGAGCTCGTGTGCTTAGATCAGCAGGAGGTGTTGGTGTTTGGAAGTTTATTCGAAATGGTTGGAATGAATTCTCTAAAGTCTAAACACATAACATTCAAAGTTCGGGATGCCAGGGATACCCGATTTTGGGAGGATTTATGGTGTGGTGACCGTTCCTTGGCTTCTTCTTTTCCCAGGCTTTTCAGGATTGCCGTTGCCAAACACGCCTTGGTAGGTGAGCGTTATCGCCTTGATAAAGGGAGGATTAATTGGGATATACACTTTCGGCGTCATTTTCAAGATTGGGAATTGGATGATATCTTTGGTTTTCTGGAGCTTCTGTATAGAAAGGAGCTAGATGGCAGAGGACCAGATTCTCTTATTTGGGTGCCCTCTTCTCAGGGGAGGTTTGGTGTTCGTTCTCTATTTTGTTATTTCCCTTGGAAGGCGGTTTGGCGCTCGAAGGCCCCTCTTAAAGTGGTCTTCTTTGTTTAGACAGCAGTTTGGGGCAAGATCTTGATGCTTGATAACATGAGACGGAGAAGACAGGTCACTGTCAATTGGTGCTGCATGTGCAAGAGGGATGGAGAGTTCGTTGATCACCTCCTTTTGCATTGCCCCGTGACTCATGAGTGTTGAAGCCTTATCTTTGGCTTGTTTAGTGTTCAGTGGGTTATGCCCAAGTCTTATAGAGGCTTCATTGTTGCATGGAGAGGATGTCATGTGGGATCCCATACCTATGATTTTTGGAGGATGGCACCCTTTCGCAGTTAGTGTGCATTTGGAAGGAGCGGAATAGAAGATCCTTTGACGGAGAGGAATCTTCTATTGGGGCTTTAAAATTTCTTATCGTTAGCTCTCTTTTTTGTTGGGTTATGGGGAAAGATTGTACATTTATAGAGGAGATTATTGATTTTTTGGGTTCCTTACGCTCTTCCGGCCCCTTTTCGGCTTCGTCCATTGGAGAAGGAAAAAATAAGCATGACACACGCCTGACAATTCCAAACCCTACCCATATATATATATAGACAATTTCAAACCCTACCCATATATATATATATACACACACACACACATCTATAATTGTATCCGTATGGACCAAGCCCAACACACGCCTGACAATTTTGAACCCTACCCACATATTCCTCTAATCAGCATATTGATTGGAGAAGGAAAAAATAAGCCGAATAGAACCCAAGAAAAAAACTAATATCGATCATGGAGTTCTTATTTTTCAGGTCAACAGAATCCATGGCAAATATGGGGATCTAAAACGGATAGAGAAGTGGGACTGGCAGTAGTGTGTTGTATGGTAGGAGAAAAAGAAAGGTTGTAATAGAATAATAAACGAAGTTTAATATAGGCAATGTAATCACTATATAGGGACAAAATTGCATTGTAATTATATTCCACTTAACCATATTCTAAACTTTCCCAGAAGCCAATTTTGAAAGCAAGTTTTTGGAGCTTTAGCCTAATGCACTTTTGAGGACTTCCACTTCCATTAGAAGTCCATTTCATAAATGCCAACAAACACCCGATTTTATGTAGGAATGCCTTTTTGGGCTTGGAAGTCCGTTTGGAGGCTTCTGGAAGCTCCCCCAAATAGGCCCATTGTATGGTCACAGAAGACTTGGTGGTTCTCATCTGTAGAGGGATGATAAGGTATCTGCTTTATTGGAAGACAATCAGTGGACCATTCTTGAAGATTGGCCTATTGAAATTCTGCAGTATCCGAGTTTTTTTTTTTTTTTTTTTTTTTTGATAAGTAAATAAAATTTAATAGAAGGCACACAAGAGGGGAGCGCTCCCAAAAGGAATGCACAAGGCGCCAAAAACAACCACTATAATTTCAAGTTATCCACAAAATCCAATAGCATCTTCAGAATTTTGTTTGGCATGAAGCTAATGAGATAATTGTTTGGAAACATGGCAAGTTCAATTTTAAACCAGTGTAGAATTCAGGGGAATAAGGTTGTTTGGTATTATGACCTTGCTTGGAGAAGGTGCATACCTAGAGTGGCTATTGAAGATTTAATGGAGGAATCAGTGGAGGAAAATCTTTCAGTAATTGATGTTGTTTCCTATTATTGAAGATTTGGTGTTACTGAAGGAATCAGTGGAGAAAAATCCTCCTCGTTTCCTATTTTCTAATTCTTTCCATTCTCATAATTTCTTCTCCTATATAAAGGAGTTTCCACCATTGTATTGTATATGATTTGAGAGAGTATAATAAAAGTGATGTAACCCTTTGGGCTTTGTGTGTTGTGGATGTAGGCCCTAGTAGCTGAACCACGTAATATCTGTGTTTTACTTGTTTTATTTATCTCTTTGCTTCCGTTTTATGCTTTACAACATGGTCTCAGAGCCTAATTTCTCTTCCTAGGTTCAGACTCCTATTTTAGGGTATTCCTTTAGCATATGAAATGTTGCTAAGGGTTTCTCGGTGCTATTTGTGACTTGTTTGGGCTGCCGGTTTGTTCAACAGTAATGTTCGTCGCCTTAGCCGTGTCTCCGGCAGTTTTTATCGACTTATTTGGCCCGCCGGTGTGTTCGGTAGCATTGTCCTCGCCTTTGCCGTGTCTCTGGCAATTTTTGTTGACTTATTTAGGCTGCCGGTGTATTTGGCAGCATTGTCTTTATCTTCTCTCTTCTCTCTTCATCATTCACAGTTGTTGTTACCCGTCATCTCAATGGCAAGTTGGACATTCATGCTCCAACTTGAAGGGGAGTATTGAAGATTTAATGGAGGAATCAGTGGAGGAAAATCTTTCAGTAATTGATGTTGTTTCCTATTATTGAAGATTTGGTGTTACTAGAGAAATCAGTGGAGAAAAATCCTCCTCGTTTCCTATTTTCTAATTCTTTCCATTCTCATAATTACTTCTCCTGTATAAAGGAGCTTCCACCATTGTATTGTATATAATTTGAGAGAGTATTATAAAAGTAATGTAGCCCTTTGGGCTCTTTGTGATTTGGATGTAGGCCCTAGAGGCTGAACCACGTAATATATGTTTGTTTTACTTGTTTTATTTATTTCTTCACTTCCGTTTTATGCTTTGCAACAGTGGCCACACCTATTATGTTAATATTGCATAATGCTCATCCCTCTCTTGAGGAAGAGGGATGGTTTTGGTTCCCACATGTCATAATTGTTATAGAGATGAGGATTGTAATTATCAACTATTCTGGTCTTGTGAATTGGCTAAGACAGTTTGGTACTTGGTTGCTGATATTTGTTACTGGGTTGGTTTACTGCAGCAGTATTATCTGGAGCAAGTAATGAGTTGGTCTAAGGCTTTGTATTCCACAGATCATATGAAGTCCAAACTCTCTAAATGCTTCTTTTGAACTATCATTTGGAGTCTTTGGACTGTGAGAAATAATAGATTGCATGGAGGAACTAGAAGATCACCTCATCAGATTGCTATTGAAGCTTGTTTTGGAGGCTGTCAAGCCATAGGCCTGTCTGTGGGCTGATCAAGATTCAGTTTCTGATTGTGCTTTTTTGTTCTTTGTACTAGGATATGCCCTAGTTAGTTTTCGTCCGCCTTAGCCTTTTGGCTGTTGTCTTGTACTTTATTTTTGTATCAATAAAATCAAACTCATTCAGGAAAATAATAATAATAATAATAATAATAATAATAAATAAATAAATAAATAAGATTTACTAATCTCTTTTTCCTATTTGTTACTGCTAATGTGAAGTCATTGGGGTTAGTGACTAAAGTGAAATTTGACGATCCTAACCAATTTTTAGGACCTCCATAGGAAAATCAGCATTTAATTGGCAGCCAAAAATGAATACACCTTCTGTGCTATATCATAACGCTATCAATTTCATATTGAAGCCATTACCTGAGTCAAGCAAATACAGGCCGATGATAGGGGTGGACTAGATACAGGCCTAACTTCTAAAATTATTTGGGTAAAGTGACTGCTCTAAAAATGGAATTGGCGTTCTTATTGTTGACAGCCCTAGCTTTCACTACTGCATCATCTCATGCTCATTAGTCATGTAATGTGAGTTCCTAACGGGCCTTCTGAAATTACAGATTGGGGCAACAAATATGGTTCTTCACCAGTAAATTAGATTTTTTAGGGCAATATATAGACATGCTAAAGCTCAAAGCTCTAATCTGTTCTTTTCCCCAATCCCCATAGATACGTGAAACTATTACTACACTTGAAATATCATGATAAAAATAGAAACTTGAATAAAAAAACTCACATCTATAAAGAAACGGCAGTTGAAAAAGGAAACTTCAAGAGCCAATTTAAAACAAAACAGAAAGACACATGATAAATAAGCACTTTATGAATTACCTTGACAAGGCTTGCAACAAGATTTAACATACTCATTCTGTTGAATTCCCATAAAGTAGAAAGCTGCAAATTTTACAAATCATGGTGAGGAGGGAAAAAATGGCCTTGAAAGAATAGAAAAAACCAAATGAACTAAAAATGTATAAGAAAAAAAAAAACAAATTTTAAGAAAGCCATCTGTGCCATAGAACATGACTCCAGAGACTACTAGTTTTAATAGCATGCACATTCAAAAAGATGAAAAGAATGTAAATGCAGGTTGACTGATCAAGTAGAAAGTTAAACATACAAACCACAGAGACAGTGTAGACTGTTAACTCGAAGGTTTCAACTTTCAACCCAATGGGATTTGGGTAACTTTGATAATAACAACTTATTAATGTGATAATTAACAATTTACTTGAGTGTGCTTATTCACAGATTATTCATAAAGCTCAAGTACTGAAAGCTCATGTGGACCCGTGGAACATCATGATGAAACTTGAAGGTCAAGGTGATTTGAATTGGGCTAGGATTTATAAAATCTCACATTAGTAAGTTGTTATCATCAAGCCGATTTTAGGGTCAAGTCCGTTTTAAAGCTCCACCAACTCCTTCATGAACTTGCAGTATCATTATGATATGCATTATACAAAGATCAGTATTCCTATAGATGGCGTCACAGATGAAGTGGAATATTGGAAACAATAGGTGAGTGGTTATAGAAGAAATATAAAAATAAGAAAAAGGAGAAAATTGTATAAAGGCTTGAATAACATAAATCAATCATTCACAGCTCTAGTATTTATAGATAAAAAGAGAAAATGCTCGTATTACAAGAAAGGAAATTAAATCAAATATAAATCATAACACAGGATATTCTATGGCATAATTCTAGGGTAAAGGGCATAAAACCCACCTGAACTATCAGCCAATTTCAGAAAGAAAAAAAAAAAAACCCAAACTAACAACTGCCCCCTGAACTTTTAAAAAAGTGAACTTTGAGGACAAAACCAAAAGTGGCCAGCACCGAAGTCTCCAGAGTTATAAGATTACCATATTGTCCTTTAGTGGAACGACACTGTTGTATCATTTTAGTACATGTTCTTACTGATGTGTTAAATACAATCTTAGCAGCCAATAGGATTGTCACAGCTCACCTTATCACAATCCACTAACTGCCAAACACCACCTTACCATCCTTATTTTAGAACCAAACACCACCAGTACAAAACGCTCCAAACCCTACCAGAACGCTCTCTCTCTCTCTAGGCTCTCGTTCTCTAGTGGCCGACAACATCGTCGATCAATAGCAACCTCCGGCACCGCCTACCGGTCCACAACTACCACCGGCGACAACCCCCGCCTGTTTCCTGATATTTTGATTGGGGACCCAATTTGGTTAATCAACCCAAATTAATCATGAAATCAACCTCAATTAACTCATTAACGGAGACGGAGTGAAGCTGTGGATTTTGTTGTTGTCGTTGTTGCTTGTCCTTTCCTGGCAGCTATGGCTATTTTTTTTGTATGAATCTTCAGAATCTGCCGCCCACCATGATTCAAATGTCCACCGTTTTGGGGTTTGAAAATTTAAGCAAAAAAAACTTTGTTTGGAGAATTGGTGGTGATGATGGGTTAGTGTGGTCTACAATTTACTTTTCTTTGTATGTTGATGATGAGTTTGCATATTTGTTGGTTCGGGACATTCCATCCGTCAGAGTTATTCATTGATTTGAGGACAATTTTCAGGTTTTTGTTTGCTCTATTTTGTGTTAGATTATGCTCTTGGTAGCCTAAAATTGTTAGATTTTTTTTCTCTCCAATAATTAGTGATTCGGCCATTCTCATCTTCTAAAAAATGAGTAAAACAACAATTGAAAGAAATTTTATTGCTTGTTAATATATATGCATCGGCTTCAGCTTTTTAAAGAAATTGTATTGTTTGTTTATATATATCCAGCTTTAGCAAGATGGTTTGTTATTTGGGCAACAAATTTGAGGGTTTTTTACATTATCCGAACACATATATATATATATAGATATCCATCATTCGTTAGCTCTTCAACTTCATCTTGGTTTTGTGAACGAAACTTATGGTTCGGTGATCTACAAGAATGACAATTAACAGGAATTTTTATTTTTATTTTTATTTTTTATTTTTATTTTTTTGCAGAGAATGACCTCCATAGAGTAGAGGGAGAATGAAGCTATAATAGGAGTTAGGGTTAACAACTGACAGACTCGGTTTTCAATTGGGGTTTCATATAGTATGGGTAATAAGGGTAAAATTGTCATTTTGAAAGTGTAGCATAGGTCACGTGCCAATTTCCAATCGGAATAGTGTGGCCTGGTGTTTTTTTGCCAAAAAAGGAATAGTTTAGGAGGTTTTCTGTAAAAATAGAGGAGAGAGAGTAAAGTTCAGGGGGGTTTTATGCCCTTTACCCCATATTCTATGGCATATTCTATAGCATAATCAAATATTTGCTAATACGGTAAATAATTCCATAAATCTTGCCTATAATATCTGCTAACACTCCTCCTCAAGTTAGTGAGTGGATATCTGAAACACCTAACTTAGATAATGCATTCTCAAACACAATCTTGCCGACACCCTTTGTAAGACTGTCTGCAAGCTGCTAAGAGCTTGAGACAAATGGAGTGCAAATTTGACCGGAGATGATCTTCTCTCGAATGAAGTGACAGTCCACCTCTATATGCTTAGTCTTGTCATGCTGAACGGGATTTGTTGTTATGCCGATGGAAGACTGGTTGTCATAGTAGAGTGAGAATGGAAGTGACACTGGAAGATACAAGTCTGTCATCAAAGTTTTCAGCTAAAGCAACTCACAAACCCCAAGAGCCGTAGCCCTATACTCTGCCTTTGCACTAGATCGAGAGACAACATCTAGCTTCTTACTGCGCTAAGTAACCAAGTTACCACCAATAGTGGCACAATAGCCCAAAGTTGACCTTCTATCCAAAACTAAACTTGCATAATTAGCATCTGTCCAAGCCTCAACACGTAAGTGACCATGATTGGCAAAACAAAATACCACGGCTCGGACACCCTTTTATCATATATGCTAACATATGAATAAATGAGGTTCCCCACAAGTCATAAATACTGACCAACATCTGACAACAACTCCCCCTTAGAATCAACCAACCGATGATTCTGCTCAATCGGAGTATCAGTAGGACGAGCGCCAAGCTGACCAGAAGTAAAAAGCAGCCACAGATCAGCAAAGGTTTCTGTTTGTGAAAACAACTAAAGAGCTATGGATGCCTGTGGAAGATATGTATTCCTCAGTTGGTAATTTTGCAAAACTGTATAAACTCTAACAACAGATTTCAAGATTCAAGCACGAAGACCAAACTCTTGCTACATATTACCGCACTCTACGTGGTAAATGGGAAGAGTTAGTTCACTACCAAGGCTACATACCTGTGTGTGCAACTGATGTTAAAATATTTCATGCTATGGTAGAAAGGAATCGAATCTATGAGTTCTTGGGTGGTTTGCATCCGATATACGAGCATGCCAGGGTACAAGTATTAGGCAGGTATCCAACCCCTATTTCTGTTAGAGATGTGTTTTCATATATCCAGGCTAAAATGAAAGCTATGTCTGCACCTGTATCCACTAAGCCTGAGCCAGAAGTACCACTGTCTGAGACGTCTACTCTTGCCACACAACAATGGAACAAGCCCAATCCTCCAAAAGGAGGGAAGCACGATGAAAAGGGCACGTTGAGGTGTGGTCATTGGCACGAGAGAGGGAAAGTGAGTGTTGGCACGAGAGATTACAAAAGTTTACGTGTGAATGAGTGTTGGCACGAGCGAGTGCAAAAGTTGAAATGCGAGTGTGTGCAATCCAAGTGGATGGCGTGCGACACTACTGCACAAGTGATATGTAGAACGAGGGAGTGCAAGTAAGCGTTGGTGCATGTGTAAAGTAATGCATGATGCATGTGTTTTGAAATCTCAGGTCTAGAACTCTAAAATGAACCTAGGACCAAATGAATTAATTTCAGATTATATCATAGTCCCTAGAATGGCTGACTTAACACTTGGACTTAGATGATTTGAATCATAAGGTTAAAATGGTCATTGAACTAAGTGAAAGTCACTGTGAGGGATGGCAGTGTGATGTTTTTGATTTTCGCCATTTTCTAATTTCTGGAATTTTATATTTTTGCGAGGGCATTTTGGTCTTTTTCATGTTGCATGTCGGACACCGTGGGGTGTGCCGGGAGTGTCCGAGAGTTGGTTGGGGCATTTCCTTGAGTTTAGGACTCTTGGAAATGCAATGGTTGCCATTTCGGCATTTTTCCGTTTTTCGAGCCCGAAGGTCCAGGGTGGGACCCGTTACCGGAATTGTTGTGCACGGGAGTTGTGTTACGGGTTCATTGCACTTTATGCATATTTATTTTGTGCACAATTTGATTGTTGTGGGTTAAAATGTGGTTGGAACCATTTACATATATATATATATATATATAGATAGGAAGAAAAGGGTGGATATTTTGTGTTAGTGGTGGGGCCCACTTGATAAGCACCGAATATTGTATATTCAAGCGCTCTAAATTGCATTAGTTAAGTTCTTTATTTGTGTATTTTATATAGATTATCTCCAATTGTATGTTTTTGCACATTTTCAGGTCCATTTGCCAAAAAAGGAGCAAAATCAAGGCTTTGTGGAGTTTTGGCCATCAAAAGGCACAAGGCTGAATTTCTGGCAGCAGTGGATCCTGAACTTTGCTCACCATTTTGACCTTGAAAACTTGAGAACTGGACTTCCATCATAACATGACATATTTAGAGCTCTGAATCAGCTTTCCAAATCTTCCAGTGGTTCGTCATTCGGAGTTCGGAGTAGAGAGTTATGATCTTCTTACCATAGGTGCTCAGAACTGCCTGGCAGCAATGAATTTCTGCCTTGCTCTTCAATTTCGACCAATCAGACTTGAGAATTGGATCTCCACCAAAACATAAAGTTTTTAGAGCTCTGAATTAGCTTTCCAAATCTTCAAACGGTTCATCATTCGGAGTTTGGAACGCAAAGTTATGGCCATTTTACCAAAGTAGGTCCGGGCGGAGCACGGCAAGAATGGAGCATTCTGCTCCAATTTCGAGTGCTCGAGCCCTTATTTCGAGTGCTCGAAATCAGGGCAGAATTGCATCCGGAAATGGCCCATTTTCAGCCACTTGCATCTTGGGTTCCTCAATTCTAATTTCCCTCTTTAATGGTTGGTTGGAGATGTTGGTTGGTGGGGGTTTTTAGAGGCTTATCTCTAGAAGATAAGGAAGGGAGGCCACACAATTGATTAAGCTTCATTCTACAAGATTAGAGGAGAGAGAAGAGAGCAAGAAAGAGGAGTTCTTCAAGCCAACACAAGGGAGCACGAAAATGGAGTTGGAGGCCTTGCTTCCTCCTTCATCTAGAGCTACCATGGGTAACTAAACCTCTTCCTAGGGAGTTGATGTAACCTTTGTCAAGTAAATATGTATTAATTGTGTTTATATTTGGGGAACTTTGCATTTATGTAACAAGTTGTCTAATCTAGAGATACACTTTGATGTATTTGTGTTTCATTCCATATTTAATCTTGTAGAGACTCTTATCTTGTCTTAGAAATTGTTTCTTCATGATTATGCTACTTACATCTTTATAGTGAGAATGAAGATGAGATTATACAATGGTTTAATGGCATGTTGTTTAAGAAATTTGATATTCCATGGCTTAGGGAAACATTTGATGGATTATGGCTTAGTTCTAGACTTCATGTGCACTTACCACACAAATTGAGGACTTTGATAGTTCATAGCTTAGGAAGGATACTCCATTCTATACCCTAGTTTAGATAGATGACTTATGCCAACCTTGGATGGATTATACTTAATTCTTGAATGTGTGAACTTCTTGAAGATATTGTAGTTGTCTTGCATTTCTACATATCATGGTTGCATGTATACTTTGTTCCCCAAGTTAATTGCAATTAGGCATGTTTATATGGCTTGTGGTGAAGTCAATTCCCTAGTCTCTTCTCTATTGTTCTATCTCTTTACTTCCTAGCACACTATTATTTTATGCACTTTGAATTCCTAGTTTAGTGACCATCAAACAAACCTTTATAAACCCCCCTCATCATTCTAGAATGATTCTAGACATTTAGGTTCTATTAGACTAGCGCAGTCCCAGTGGTTCGACTTACCCGACCAATAGCCCTATTTTACAATGATTCGTGCTATTGCGAGGTTGATGTTTAATTGACCAACCGATCACCACTCCCCACTCACTTTCTTTTTGTGGCCATTAGGCCATTGTATGGCCTTATTCTCCCCCTCACCCGACAGTCTCTCTCTCCCCCTTGCTTTTCTTTTCTTTTTCTTTTTCTCCTTTAATTTCAGGGCTTGATTAAGCCTAGCTCATTTAGAATTTGATAGCACTTCTTTGGGCAAAATCGGAGAGCTTGTCGAGGTCGTTATTTTGGTAGGAGCCAAGCACCATTTTTCCAACCTTTGGATTTCGGGTTCTTGGGCTTGATTTGGGGCTTTTCTTCAATTGAGGTAGGGGTACCCTAATGTCTGGAGTTTTGCCTTTCAATTGAGCAAGCTTTTACCTCTTTCTATATATGTTGAGAATTTATGAATTTATGAAATGAAAATTGTTGATTTGTAAATATCTTTATATATGAAGCATGAGTTGTTTCAATCCTATATTGATGGCTTGTTTAATTTTGCCATATGTGGATTCTTGAACATGTTGATTTAAGAAAAGTAAGTTTTTATTGTGCTAAATTTTAAAGAAATGCCATGGAATTTGAATTGCTTTTTATAAGATGGTTGACTTTGTTAGTGACACTTATATGATGAAATTGTGATTTGAGGTTGAAAAATCTTATATTGCATATCATGGCATAGAATGAGAATTGGGCATAATTTGGGAAAGATTTGAATGAAAAGTTGTTTCGAAAAGTAAAGTTTCTTTTAAAGAAGGGATTTTTTTTTTTTAAAATGAACCGGATTTCGCGAGTCCGGGGCTAGCTTGACCTAGAGGGAGCGCGGCCCGGTCTAGATTGATACTAGGCCCTTTAACGGTTGCCAGGCATTGCCAGAATTGGAACCGGGATAGTTATCAATCTCGCCTCGGTAAAGTCAGTTAGCGGATTTCTAAAAGTGTGGTTTGGGTCGGTATAGGCCAGAATTGGGACGGGTGCATCACATTCCATTTCATGCATACCATTTGGTGGAATTGTGACAAGTGTTGAAGTTGTTTTTTGCTAAGTTGTTTATGGTGTATGAATCCCCATTGCATGATCCCGACATCCTTTCACTTCCATTATATGTTGTTCGGCTCAAGGGAGTCCAAAACTAACGCCTTAGGTAACTTCTACTGAGCTTTACGCTCACCCCTTATTTTTAACAAATTTCAGGACACGGGAAGGAGGTGGCGGATGGTAATCCACCACAGGCTTAAACTGGATTGGAAATTATACCTAGCTATCTTTTGTATGAAAGCATAGGTTCACGTAATCTTTTGTAGAATTTTTGCAATTATTTTGTAGAATTTTTGTAATATGGAAGACTCAAACCACTTGATGTATAAATGTCTATTTTCATGTAAACGACTTTGAAATTATGTAAACTTCATGTCTTGAATGTATGGGATGTGGTATACCATTTTGCAGAGCTTTGGGATGGGTTTGGACCAGTTTCAAGGTCTCTATTGAGACCACTTATCACTTCCATGTACATAGCAGCTCATTGCAGTTTTTTGCAGTTCGCAAGGCCATTTTGGTTGACCGAAAAGGGCATTTCGGTTGACCGAACATTCAAGCTACTATTGGGGTCACAACCGGCTGACTGGAATGGCTAATTCAGTCAACCGGTACAGGAGCCATTTCGGACGACCGGAGCTCCACTTTGGTCAGCTGAAATGCTACTGATTTGTGTACCTTGTTCGATCTCTTGATATAATTAGCGCCGAGCCTTGTAACCTTGTCTTGAGTCCTCATGAGGTATAAATATGACGTGATAATGATATATTGACCCAGGAATTGAAGTTAATTACTTAGGTAACCTCGGGTTTGAGAAAGGACCCGGCTAGCGGTTCGAACCTACGGGTTCGGGTCGTTACAGGCAGCCTTTTTTTTTTTTTCCTTGTTTTTTTGAATAAGCAAAGGGGGATGGCAGCTTTATCAGGTTTTGGGAGGACCTTTGGTGTGGGGAACGCTCGTTAGCTTGAATCTATTCAAGTTATCAGAACTAATACATAAATTGATGAAAGAGGTAGATGACAAATTTTATAATTTGATATTTACATTTTATATTGAGGCTTGTTCGTAAGCCAGTGCCATAAATGGGATTATAGAATATAGAGTCTGTTTTTTAGCTATTCTCACTTACTGTGGAAAGAAAGGAGTGGGAGTGAGATAGAGATCATCTACACTTTCTGAAAGAATGTAAAGGAAAAAAGTAATAGCCATGCCACCCACATAAATAGGACCAATGAAAAATTCAACTCAAATGGACATGTAACCTCATCAGCAGTAGGCCATTTGTTGTCACTGATCTCCAAGGTCAGCTCAAAACAGCCACCATGTATGTAGTTCCAATCTTGCATGCCACCATATACAGGGTACCTGCAGCAGAAGAGCATATGAATGAAGAAAATAAAAGAAAACCAGCATTTGTAGGGATCTAATAATTTAAAAAACCAACAATAGAAGAAGTGCAAAAGAAGAAAGCCTGACAACTTTCTAATGCCGAAGCACTTCTGCTGGACATAAATTTCATGGTTTTACTTCTAAACTTACATACCAAGATGCTCCATTTGTAATTCCTCCCTGAAATTCATTGCTCAGAGACATGTTGTAGTGAGAACTACTGTACACACTTGCCATAAACCTGAATGCTTCATCATCAGGACATGCATAGTAATTTGTCCTGAAATTCAAGCATATTCAGAGATAATTATAAGTGCAAAAACAGCATTAACTTGAAAAGATACTCCAGCAACCAATATCTAATGCTGATCAAGTATAATTTGAAGTGTTCATGAAGAAAGGAGATGCAATCAGTAATTCATGTCGTAATATAGAAGCATTCTGATTGTTCCCTAAACTCTTTTGACAGTAGAAAGAGCATTCAATGAACTTAAACACCCATGAAAGTTGTGTGGCATATATGGGAAAAATAAGGAACAGGTAAGAACCAAATAAAATGAAGTAAACTTTTGGAGTCCCAAAGCAGCAATTTTTTATAATATACATAGGAATACTTGGAAAAACACATTATTGCAAGATACCCAAGCTGCAAATAAACCATTGCCACTAAAACATGACCAATAAATGGAGTCTTAGATTGCCAAAATAATAGACCTTAAAGCAGTTAATTACGAAAATAACTTGAGTGGGCCTGACAAATGAAAAACTAGAGGTGGTAGGGCGATCTTTAGCTCAATATTCCCTCAGGACTAATGATTTAAAGTTCATAACAAAAAAAGAAAAATCAACTCGATTACCACAGAACTAAAGGATTGAACAGCAAGTCCTAAAAAGCAGAAGCAACATCAATGTGGAATCCTCACCTTTTATCCTGAGTTCCATCCCATGGATAATTTGCAACAAGTGCTCCCTGTGAACAAGTATAGACATCAACAAGGACTTAGTTGTTCAGTTATCTGAACCAAGATTAAAATCCAAAACATCATGTTAATCGGCTTCTTCTAAAACAAAATTAAGCTTGATGATACAACATACTTGTGGGTCAGCCTCTACAACTCAGATCAGTTGAGTCAGTTGTAATAGATCAAACAGATGTAGGGGGAATTTACTTCTCATAAAAGAAGAAAAAAATTGTAAATTTATATTACGCTCAAAAAGAATGCCATTAGCTCATACATAACCAAATCTGTTCAATTGTGAACTGAATGACATTACTCATAGGGGTTGCACTGTCTGTCTTTAATAGATGAGAACCATAGTACATCAACGGATTGTATATATAGCAAGACTACAAGGAAATATAACCACCCAAGTATAAAATCCTAAAAAAATTGCACTTGCTGCATGGGACCCATCACAATCTCCATGAATTCTCCACTAGTGAGAAGATCTTGCCTCTGATAGCAACGCTAGTGGTTCCAGTCCAAAACATAAAAGATCATTTCAGTGAAATGCATCATCTATAAGCTATGTGTCAGTTGTATCTGCACAATCTCGCCAATGAACAAGATATTACCAATAACAACCTAAAGGGGAAGCTAAGATGTAAAGGTCAAGCATGCCGTACTATACAGCAGAGATGGTGGAAAACCTACAGGCAAAGTACGAGGATCAAAGGTGCCTCTATAAGGGAACAAGTCCTCCACATTGGAAACTGGACTAATACGCGTATTTGATGGTAAAGTCAAGTAAACATATGTTGGGTCTTAACTAAAGAACGTTACAGAATGGTTCAACGGCTTAGGCATGCAATTTCTTGAAGGGTATTTAAGATAACGATCTACACAAACATGAACAATTGCATGGTCTCCTTCATTGACATCCTGATTCCCGTCAACATATGCAGCAAGTATATAAGTTCCATTATGTAAAGCACTTTTTCATCTTATATGGGTTTGCCCATCAGTTTGAGGATGAAAAACTGAAGGAAAATATAGATTGGTAGCAAATAACTTATCAAGTTGACATCATTATCTGGCACAGTAGAAGTGAGTAATCCAAGAAGTCTAACAATCTCCCTAAAGTACAACTTAGCCACATATGAAGCATCAGTAATCATATTATAGGGGACCTATCCACCACAACAAAAATAGTACATGATATGTAGCTGTTTTGGGCAGTGTAAGGACAAAATCCATCCTGAAATCTTTCCACGATGTGTGTGGGACAAGTGAGCAGGTACATAAAACAGTGTTCTTTCTAGTTTTCACTAACTGACGAGTGCAACACTCATATAGTAGACAAAATCTATCCCCCACTATACAACACGTCTCATTTAGCAAAATGATCAATCATTCTCCCTCTGAAACTATAAGTTACTAAGTTATGTGCAGGTAATGTATAGTCTAGGCCTTCGATATAGATAGTGCTCTCAAATTACAACAACGATAACGACCAAGCCTTTTCCCAATTTTTTGGGGTCGGCTAGGGAAAAAAAATTTCACATGCTATACCTTTCTTTACTCTCTCTACCCTCGTTGACTTTGGTCTTCTTCTTCCCCTAGTTTTACCCTCAATATAGACTACGTCACTTTTTCTAACCGGCGCACTTAAGGATCTTCTTTGCACATGTTCAAACCATTTTAACCTTTTTCCCTCATTTTATCTTAAATTGGTGCTACTCCAACCATCTCCTGAATGTGACCCTAAAGTGATAGGCACACAAGGAGCTACCTTTTACTCCAAGAAAACGTGGTTTGATTTCTTCAACTATCCCATCTGAGATGGGAAACTTCTTTGAACTGCCGTACTAGAGAACCAAAAGGGACCGATTGTGACCGTAACCGTACCAGACCAAGGGAATGGGTCAAGCGGACAGCGCAAAGGCCCATTACATTAGTGAGTAACGGCAAAGGAGTGGCATGAGGTGGCACTAAAGCTACACTAGACAGACAGAAGGGGTAGCTTAAATAAATAATTCTCCCCTTCGTTTTAATACGAAGTATTAAAACTCCGGGTCTCATTATTTATATGTAGTTAATATAAGAGCTGCCAACATTTGGTACCATAAAGTGTGTCAGGTCTAATAGTTGTTCTATAGAACTCTCCTTTCAATCGTAAAAGGGGATACACCTATCATACAATATACTAGATGCACTCCATTTAACCCATCCTGCCATGATTCTATGATTAACAGTAGAAATATAAAAAGAAGAAGAAGAGAATTGCGCAAATGCTTGAATGAGAATGAATTACTCATACACAACTCTGGTATTTATAGATAAAAAGAGCACATGCTCATATTACAAGAAAGGAAACTAAATCAAATCTAAATCAAATCACAACCTATTCTAAAGTATATTCTATGGCATATTCTATAGCATAGTCAAATCTCTACTATTATGGTAAGTCATTCCATAAATCGTGGCTATCATATATGCTAACATATACATAGTCAAATCTCAGCTATTATGGTAAGTCATTCCATAAATCGTGGTATCATATATGCTAACACTCCCCCTTAAGTTGGTGCATGGATATCTGAAACGCCCAACTTGGACAATGCATTCTCAAACACAATCTTGTTAACACCCTTTGTAAGAATGTCTGCAAGCTACTGAGAGCTTGTGACAAATGGAGTGCAAATTTGACCAGAGATGATCTTCTCTCGAATGAAGTGACGGTCCACCTCTATATGCTTAGTCCTGTCATGCTGAACGGGATTTGCTGCTATGCTAATGGCAGACTTGTTGTCGTAGTAGAGTGAGAATAGAAGCGACACTGGAAGGCACAAGTATGTCATCAAGGTTTTCAGCCACAACTCACCTACCCCAAGAGCCATAGCCCTATACTCTGCCTCTGCACTAGATCGAGAGACAACATCCTGCTTCTTACTGCACCAAGTAACCAAGCTACCACCAATAGTGGTACACTAACCCGAAGTTGACCTCCTATTTGAAATTGATCCTGTATAATCAGCATCTGTCTAGCCTCAACACGTTAAGTGACCATGATTGGCAAACAAAATACCATGGCCTGTACACCCTTTTAAGTAGCAAAGGATCCAAATAGCTGCATCAAGGTAAGGGGCACAAGGAGAGTGCATGAATTGACTCACTACACTCACGGCATAAGCAATGTCAGGTCGAGTCATGGATAAATAGATGAGCTTCCCCACAAATCGTTGATACTGACCAACATTTGACAATAACTCCCCCTCGGAATCAGCAAACCAATGATTTTTCTCAATCGAAGTATCAGCAGGACGAGTGCTAAGCTGACCAGAAGCAGAAAGCAAGTCAAGAACATACTTGCGTTGAGAGATGAAAATGCCAGCCTTGGAGCGAGCCACCTCAATGCCCAAGAAGTATCGTAGGGGACCAAGATCCTTAATCTCAAACTGACGGCCAAGATAGCTCTTAACCTCATCAATTCCGGTAGTATCATTGCCGGTACAAACAATATCATCGAAATACGCAATGAGAGCAACTGTCTGCCTGAATGACGTAAAAACAAGGTATGATCAGCTACACTTTGATGGAAACCAAACTTGAGCATGGCAACGCCAAAGCGATCAGACCAAGCTCGAGGAGACTGCTTGAGCCATACAGAGAACGACGAAGTCGACATACCATACCAGAATGAGTAGGAGAACAAAAGCCAGGAGGAGAAACCATGTACACCTCCTCCTGCAAATCACCATTGAGAATTGACATCTAACTGAAATAGAGGCCAAGATCGAATCGCAACAACGGAAAATAATACATGGATGGTATTCATCTTGGCAGCAGGGGCAAAAGTCTCCTGATAATCTATGACATAAGTCTGAGTATAACCCTTGGCAACAAATTGGTCCTTTTAACGAGCAACCGACCCATCTGGATTATGCTTAACTGTAAACACCCAACGACTACCCACAGCCTTTCATCCAATAATAAGCAGAACCATGTCCCGAGTCTGATTTTTCTCAAGTGTTTGTAGTTCTTCTGCCATAGCACCACGCCATTGAGGTTGTGCTAGTGCATCTGCAACACTAAAAGGAGAGGAACCGAGGTAACAGAAACAAGAAAACTCCACTAGGAGGGTGAGAGAGCATAATCAAAAACAAAATAAGAAATAGGGTATGTACAAAAACGTTTACCCTTTCGAAAAGCAATGGGGCGATCATCAAGCGGAACAATAGCTTGAGAAAGCGGAGCTGGTGCCGAAGGAACAAGGCAGTCGATGGTGGGAGTAAAAGCTTGTACCTGTTGTCTCCGACTATAAACATGTGAAAAAGGAACAATTCCCTCTGCTGGAGGGGTATCCGAGGAGGAATCATAGAAGACGAAAAAAGTAACGATAGAGGAGTTGAAGACGGAAGAAGGTGATCATCCATTATATTTAGTGGGAACCATTCATTTTGAGAACCAACTGAACCACTATAATATGGTGTATGCACAAAGAAAGAAACATCCATGGATATAAACCACTGACGACTGGGAGGATGGTAACACCTATAACCTTTTTTAGAGTGAGAATAGCCCAAAAACACACACTTCAAAGCCTTGGGGTCAAGCTTTGTACGAGTCTGCCCCAACTGCTGAACAAAGCACACACACCCGAAAACTCGCGGAGGAATAAAAAAAGAGATGAATTGGGATTTAAGATTGAGAGTGCGGCTGCAAAGTTAAGAACCCTAAAAAGAGTCCTATTAATGATGTAAACAATTTTAAGAACTGCATCTCCCCAAAATGACTGTGGAACATTCATGCCAATGCAGATTGCTCTGGCTAAGTTAAGGATGTGGCGATTCTCTCTCAAAATGACCATTCTGTTGAGGAGTTTCAACATTAGCCATCTGATACTCAATCCCAAATTCTGTGCATAACCGTTATACCTCCCCATAAGTGTACTCTGTACCCTTGTCAGATCTGAATTTTTTACTGGTACGACCATATTGAGTCTGAACCATTGTCATAAAATTTTTAA